TGACCTGAGGGAAATGTTAAGGGAGATATATTTTCCAAGAGAGGCACTTCTGTGTTTTACCTCGTTAGCTGATTACAACCAAGGCAGTATGTATTTCAGGATTCTGCAGGAGTGAGCACTACAAACATTGTCAGCGATCACATGCCTTTCTAGCGCATTTGTTCACAGTGCTGTTTGATTTGTTTTTTTCCAGAGTCCTAAGCCGTAATCCACTGTCGGCCATTGTTGACAAAGCTTTTCTTCAATTGCCATCCTTGAAGTACCTGTAAGTATAAACTCGGCTTGACTTTAACCAGCATATGTAAGGTATGTCTTTGCATCTGCAAGTGACAACCCCTTAGCAGAGCCTACAGTGTGCTGAACTCACTGCTTGCTGCTTTTAGAGCAGCTAATATAGTACAAGTAACCCCAACGGGAACAGAAAAAGAAAAGAGCAGAGCCGTTCACTCCATGCTTAACACAGGCCAGATTGCAAATGGCATGGGCTGGCCCAAAGGTGAACTGGTGGTGGTGGCTGAAGATAATGCTGCCTAGAGAATCCTGTTCCTCCACAGCCCATTTTGCCAGAGCTGCTGGGAATCTGAGACAAAACTTTTTTATTTATTTATTTATTTATTGCGGGGGGGAGGAATTTCCCTCCACTCCCTAAAGCCGCCCCAGGCTCCCTCTAAGATTTGCAGCAGTTCAGGCAAGCAACTCCGGCATTCAGGCAGGGAAGAAATCCCCTCCGCTCCCTGGGGTTGCCCCAAGCTGGTGGACCCTAGGCTGGGTTGGGGGGAAGCCCCATAAAGCAGGGGCTCCCCAGTGCTACCATGCAGGGCTGCATGGGCAGGCACCTGGCCGGAGGACTTCTCCCTCCCTCCTGGGGCAGTGGCCGAAGCAATCAGCAGCTGGGAAAGCGGAGGGAGGAATTGGCCTCAGCTCCATGTGGCTGCCTGGGCTGGGGAAACCCCACTAAAGGTTAGGCTCCCCCAAGGTGGGCAGCACCCAGACAGGAGGTTGGGAATATATACTGGGGAGCCAATAGGGGACACTTGGCTAGGCTGGCAATAGCCAGCAGGCTGGGAGATGTGCTCTAGCACCCCCCACTGGGCTGAGTCAGTGCAGGCATCCCCCTGCCTTTCCCAATAGAAAACTGAATGTCAGTTCAGTTGGTTACCCATGCAACCTACACAGCTTAGAGGAAGCTGCCTAGTTTGAATCGATTCAGCCTCCAGCTTTTTGACTGTCTGTACTTAGCCTTGGAGACTGGGAAAGTACCTTGCCACTGGACTCTGGAAGGGACAGGGAGCCTCTGAAGATGGAGATGCTGCTTTTTGCTTAAGTGTAGAAAGCACTGAGTGTAGAAAACATTGATTTGACTGAAGTGTAGAAAGCAAAGATTCTGGGAGCTGATTTATGCCATGTTTCCACCTGGTTAACATAGATATCGGGTTTGGTGCCTTTGGCGTTCTGGGTTGGCTGTGTCTGTGCTCCGGGACTGCATTTGTCATGGCACCCCTGGAACCTGCACTTTTTGCTAGGGGTTCTAGTAATCATGGCCATCCTCATCAAACCCACATTGCAGGACGGGCTCAGAGCCCCAGCTGCTATCATATCACCTCCTGTGATTATTATAACGAGCAGCTCTGAGCTCTTACTTTAGCTCACATGACCTTTCACCTGCAGGAATTCATCAATGTTGTTTGAGGAAGTCCGTTTTCCTCTGGAAAATCCACATTCAAGCCACCCCACATGGCCCCAAAGGACCGTGGCTTTTTCCTTAGTGCATTTTCCCTTTCAATGGCTGCCATTTTGGTGCAGTTCTTGAGGGATGGCATTGTACCAGTTTTCTGCTCTCACTGTCTGAAACATGAATCAGACGTTGTACACAGGGCTTTTGGGAAAAGCCTATATAGTGGCATTAATAAAAAGCATGATCTCACCTCTTAGCTTCTTGGCAGGCGATCTATAATACTTAAGTGCCTCCCATTACTAAAATGCTTCTGAGCTTCACCATCTCTAATGCATTTACCCTTACAATATCCCTGCAAGGTAGGGGAGTGCTATTACCACCATTGTACAGATGAGGCACCAAGACACAAAGAGAAAATGACCTGCTTATAGTCACTTGTATATTCTATGTCAGAACAAGAAGCTGAAGCTAAACCAGGACCCTAACCCACCAGCCTCTCCTTTTTATTCATGGCAGGGACTTTCCCAAAAGTACATATTATCCACTTCTTTGTCGGATGCGTGTGTTCTCCTACACTAGAAACAGAATCATCATATCCCTTTTCTGTAGGAAACTTTGCTTTCTTCCACCTTGAGCTTTTCTTTTCATAGTCCATTTATGTGATTCAGATTTTCATTTTACTCTGTTCTATTTCATTCCTACATGTAATGCGTCCAGCCACTGGACTCTGCACTCAAGGTATTTTCAAACCCACGTGGGTGGAGTGGAATAGGGTCCTTCTTTGTTCCTTTGGGAATTCCTAAATCCACACAGAACTTAGTATTGTTTGCAAGACAGGTCAGATAATCATTATTTTTCACCTCATCCTACTAATTCAAAGTCAGGCCTTTGGTTACGAATCTCGCACAGGTTTAGTCAAATCATCATACTGGAATGGATTCTCAGCTGTTCTACCCAGGCATAGCTTCACTAAAGTCAGTGATGCTATACCTGTTTACATCGTCTGAGGATCTCACCTTTGCTTCTAAAAGCAGAGGCAAACCAATGCTTGCCACCTATCATGTTCAGCACTCCTGACGCTGCATGATGTCCTGTATTGTAATTATTTGCCTTTATTTTACCTTTAATATTATCTGGGAGAATTTTATATTGCCAGAATCTGAATTATGAGACGAGGATTAGTAATGTTATGATCTTTTTCAACTCTTATACAGTATTTTAGATAAAATGCAAGCTATCTTTTCATATTTAGTAACTATCAAGATCGGCTTGTCCACAAAGCAAGTTTCCAATAATCAGGCCTGAAATGTCTTTTTTTAACTCTTTCAGAGATTTAGGTGCAACACAAGTGACTCAACAGATACTTCACACTCTTCTCGTTGTATCACTACACTTAGAAACCCTGTAAGTACAATGAACTTTGATGTTATTCATTGCATATTGCACTAGGTAAAAATAAATTATCTCCTTGAAAAGCGAAAGGTACCAAATGCAACATAAAAGTAATGCCTTTAAACCCTGACTTCAACTTGTGTAGAATCATTGATTTTTCTGTAATAGTCTTGGAAGGATTACAAGTATCTCTTCTTGAGAATTACTGACATGAGCAACAGTATATCAGCTGAAATATATGATATCTGAAAAACTCCTGCAGTGATGATTGTCTTTGTGAGAGTCTATTCTGGCCAACAAGCCATGGTCAGATGAAGCATGGTATCTACTGCTGTCTGTAGATAAACTATCAATGCCATTTTCTAAGAGTGTAATTAATGGGATGTCTTAAATAAGAGATGCACACAAAACATTTTTGTTTTGTCTCTGACATGTTTAAATTGGGGGCAAGGTAAAAGGCAAGCTGCTACCACCATCTCTTTGTGAACATTTATTATTTTAACAATTTGGGGAAAAAACAGTATCAGGGTTAGGACACAGTGTTTCTGGCCACTTGATAAATAGTCATATTAATTGTGGCCTTTTGTAGCTTATCAGCACTGCAGAACGCAGTTGTGAGGGGAAGAGGTATATGTATCACAATGCATCACTGAAGCTGCATTTTGTAACACACAAGGTTAAAATTAATCCTTTAATTAAAAAAAAATTGCAACATTCCTACCAGTAATAAAACAATAGCTTTTATCTGTTGCTGAGATAAAGGCCCAGTAATAAAATTAGTTTCCCCAAACTCTAAATATTTCTAATAAAAAAATTGGATTGAACAATGCATAAGTCTTGTTTAATGGCCTGTGAGCACCTGAGACGGGATATCAGGTCTGAAAACCCTTCAGAAGACTCACATGTTAAGGAAATCAGGGAGGTCTCTGGACAACCATCTCAGACTGAGTGGCCCTCAGATAGGAAGATGTGAGATGAAAACAATCTGGAAAGAAACTTGGGCAATGGAAAACTGTTTGTGAGTACAGTCCTGTTTCAGGGATTTGTTACTTATGTTAAGTGTCTAAGGCTGAATAATAAAGGAAAAGACAAATTCAGAAACAGGCCAAGTTCTGCACTAAACCATACTGAGTCAAGATACTTTGACCTGGCCAACTGGGGAAAGATATGGACAATAAATGTGTCTTTTTGTCCCAAGAATCCCAGCCTGCCTGCCCCTGCCTCCCCGCCATGGTTGTGATTTTCTTTGCTGGAATGGAAGAAGCCACAATAGAGTGAGGTAGACTCAGTCCAATTCTACATCAACCAGGAAAACCCTGCATCTGGGGAACTGTTGGCTGCCACATGAGTAGTGCAAAGGGTGGATTGAGTGCTCAGGGCCTGGCCCATTTTGTAAATGGGGAGGAAGGAACAGCATGGGAACACAGCACGTTCACTAGGGCTGTGTGAAATCAGGTAGTAATTCGATTTGGAGGAGATTCGGCTCGATTCAGTGGCCAAATCTCCAGGTCCTCGAATCAGAGGACCAATTTAAAGGTCTGAATTGATTCAAAGCTGTCCGAATCTTCGGCAAAGATTTGGACGGTGTTGATGATTCGGGCAGTCCCCGGTGGCTGCAGCAGGGAGCTGC